TGAACTCAGGAAAAAAACTAAAACAAACTCGTCAATTTCAACTGCACTTTGACTTCATTTGCTTCGGGTGTCTGGTTAGCAAAAAGAGCGCGAATTAAGAGTTTGTTTTAAGTTAAAAAAACCTCAGTTCTAAGGGAAAAGAATAACAAAATTTTCAAAATATAACGATATGTACAATACAAAAATTGAAGTTTGCAGGTTGGTAGTTTTCGGGGGCATGAATAATATGTTCTTCATGGCAATTGCAGAACTTTGATATCGGCCTTACCCTGAAACTATTTTCCTGTTGGGTAAATTTCGGTGTGCTCTAGTTGTTGGTTGTCAGTCTATCTGGCCAGCTGTAAGGGGGCGGTCGCACAGTTCCTACGTGTTTTTCAGGAGGCTTACCATCGTTGTCTGGACTAAGAGCTGGAAAAGATGAATATATATCAGGAGTAAGAAGCATTCAATGGTAAGTCAAAATCAAAACTGTCAAAATACTATTGAATCATGAATCTTGTTAATGTGAAATTATAGGAGTAGTGGTCGAGTGTTTACTATGACCTAATATAGTTCTATATATGTTTAATATGGCTTTAATATAGACATACGTACGACTAATATGCAGGGTTTTATCGAAGGGTATATTTTTATTAGCTTTAAAAGGAATATTTAGTGTCAGGTGACATATGTCGAGGGAGGAAAATAGAAGAATATCATTATCTGTTTTATGTTTATCAATGATGCTATCTGTTATAAATGTGATTATTTTTAGTGCTATGTTCCGGTAATTTTCAATCGGCTGGCATCATCAGAGCCCTCTTGGACCAAGTTCAATATCAAAGAATTGACTTGAAAAATGTCCTACCTTCTTCAAAAATAAATGTGTATTGTTATTTGAAAGGAATTTCTTAGTTTTTGATTTAAATTCGATTAGGGTTCGACTTATCAAACATTTACACGATAGCGCGGTCATCAACCAATCAGCACACTTGCCTTACGACCAGTGGGAACGTCGTAGGGGAGGTGGGGAGAGTCAGTTCATCGCACGAGTGATAAAAAAAGCGATATGCGGACGGGTTTCAGAGTGCCGAAGAGTGGTCGAACATTTTCACGCGAGCTGCGACGGCTTCTGGGACCTTTCTTCAATTTAAATTTTGCGGACGTATTCTTGATGATACTTCCAGTCACTGAGAGACCCGGAGGATGCCATTAAGAAAGTCAGCCAACTAAGAAGTTCGTATATGGTAACTCGCTTTGAAAGTCTCACGCAACTCACCCAAACTTTAGTTAGTTATTATTAGTACTCATTTAATTGTTAGTCTGCCAGTCTAGTTAGTTAGTAGGTTTGTTAGGTAGTTTAGTTTGTGAGCGAGTTAGTTTGGCTAGTTAGTGAGTTAGTGTAGTTAGTTCGTCAGTCAGTTAGTGTGATTAGTTAGACTAGTTACTAAATTATTTCGTTTTGAGTTAGGTAGCCAGTTAGTATAGTGAGTAAAATAGTATTGTTAGTTGGTTAGCTAGCTAATTGGTCAGTCAGTATTGTTGAATGGGTAGTTAGTTAGTTTAGTTTGGTTTGGCTTGGTTTCTTTGTTAGTTTATTAGTTTAGTCAGTTAGTTTATTTAGTTTGGTCAGTTACTTAGTTGCGTAGTTGGTTAGTAGGTTAGTCAGTAGGTTAGTATAGTTCGTATTCAGTCGTTCGTTCTGCAAGTCTTACAACGATCGCCTAAATTTTATGCTTGTCATGGCTTTTGGTTTCCAGTGGTGCGTCCAGAAACGTCATTCGGTTAGATATGGTGATAAGTATGTGCTTATCATCATGAAATATATTTCGGGTGAATTGTACAGCAAACGATCGACATTAACGGTAGTAAATTGGAAATTCCATCATTGAAAGGCAATTCCTTATCGTTTTTTCATTGTGATAGCCATACCCATTTGGTTTTCTGGCATGCTTTGCTTGCCGATAATTTGTTTTCACTAAGAAAGGCAGATTTGTGTTTTAAAATTCGGTTTTTGGGTTACGCGCTCTATTAGATTTTATCCGCAAGTGTTTTAGGTGGAGTGATTAGAAAACGCGATATACGTGCGGGTTTTAGAGTACTGAATAGTGATTGGTCGACATCTTCTAGGACTATTCTTGAGTTTAAATTGTGCAAAATTATATTTGAGTGGTAATTCTAAACTGTGAGCGAACCGGAATACGTCATTAAGGAAATCGGTCAAGTGAGAAATGTGGTCAACTAAGAAGTTATTGTTCAGTTACTCGCTTTGAAAGTTTCCCGCGGCTCACCCACGACTTAGTTACTTATTTAGTATAGCTAGCCAGCCAGCCGGTTAGTTAATATAGTTAGTTAGTCAGTAGTCAGTTAGTTAGTTCATTATTATAATTAGTTAGTGCGTAAGCATAGTTTGTCAGCTAGTTAGTTAGTCTGTTGATTAGGCAGTTATTTGGTTAGTTAGCATAGTTAGTAAATTAGTTATCCTAGTTAGTTAGTGTTGTAATTTCAGTTAATATGTAGTCACTCGTTTCAAAATTTTCAATCTATTTGCCTGAACTTTAGGTTTTTCGAGGTTTTTGGTTTCCAGTGGTCCGTTTAAAAACGCCATCCGGGTAGATTTGGCGATGATGATGTATCAATAATTGAACCTATATAACTGGTGAATTTACACCAAACGGTCAATATTTACGATAGTCCGTTGGAGATACCATAATTGAAAGGCAATTTGCTATCACATTATCACTTTGGTGATCATATTTTCTGCTTGCCTAGCATGGACTACTTTGGCGTTTTTTGTTCTAACTGATGAACGTTCTATTTGTCCGTATACATTTTGGTTTTTCGGTTGCGCGCTCTATTAGAGTTCATCCGCAAGTGCGTTAGTTAGCATTCCTCCGTCCCAGGCCTTATTTTTGTGTCATGTCCCGTACTTTTTCTTTTTTTTATAATTTTAAATATCAAAATATTTTCAAAATCGTTTTCAGACTTTTGTTAAGTAAACTATAGTTTACTATAGCACCACTGCTATCTGGCTGCTCCTACAAGTCGGAAATACGTGAAACAGGAACAGGCTTGAGAGAATTTTTACCAATGCCGTCCTTCACTACCCAAGGAGCATTCGCTGTGAAGCTGAGGGGTTTTATAATTTCCCTGTACTGACCTTTTGGCGTTTGACGTTACTGGAATGAAGCAGAAGCAGACGGAGTTCCTAGAAATGCCAATAATGGCATGTTTCAGGTTCAGCAAGAGCTAACAACAAGCAGTCTGAAATTCGCAGTATGAGTTTGGGTCGAAGTCTGCCATCGTCAACATCCGACTGTCCGCAAGCCTCAAAAAACGTTGTCGTTCAGGGGATAACAGGCATACCTGTGCGCCAACGGGAAAAAGGCCATGCTATCGTCAACCGTAGGCTTTTTGTATAGACCTTGGCCATAGATGACTGAAGTAAATCGTTGAAATAACCACAAACAGTATCTTACGCTAAACCTATGATTAACTATGCTCTGAATGCAAGCTAGTTTTCTACCGACGTCAGCACACCTAGTGGACGACGAGGCGCCGATGGCCGGTGCATTCTTTTGAAGACAATTCAGTTGTGTAGAACTGCCGTCAGCCGATAGTAGACTATCGCTTATCACACTGAAGTGTCCAATCCGTTATTTGATGTCGCTGCAGGCATCTCGCTTCGCCTTGGCTTTGTCCAATTCTGTGTAACGGATGTGACAGTATCCTAGGTGTACGTTTTATTCTGTTTAAAAAGCTTTAGAATGTACGGAAGAAAAGCTATCTAATGATACATGCTAAAGCATGCCGTGCAGTATATGAAAGCTATGGTGGACATTATGCATAATTTCTTCCATGCCCTACGAAATCAAATATTTTTAGGTATACGTTTAGCATGCGGCACCTATTCCCGACACGACAGAGGACAAACAAAATATCGTGCAACAGTAAATTTGAGCAACAAGTGTTCGCAGTCCTTGGGAAATTTCCACCCAGGGGAAAGATGACTTTTTATTTCGGAATCTCGCCACCACAAAGACCAAACGCGATGAGCGCATCTCAAATTACCAAACAGTCGCTTAACGTGGCAGATTACATAAATTTAATTGTTATTAAATGCATCAAATAATATTACCTCGTTCAGTCGCAAGTATCCAGGTGGAATACTGGACATAAAGCCAGCTCACGGTATCGCAGTTTTGTTTGTGACTTTT